TAGCCTTCAGATGATTTTAGATACTTTTGTTCCCTTCTTGCTACCCTTGTTGTTGCCTTGACCTTTTTGTTGTTTATTAGCCATTACAAGCCTATTTTGCCCCATTGGTTACTAGTCTCAAGCTTGGATTGAGGGAGCTATTAGTGAGTGAGGTGAGGGAGTTTTTATTATGCTTATTATTTGCACAATTTGGGTGGGCTTTGAGAAGTTATTTTGTTCTTGATAGTAGTCTATTTTTGATGAGCTTGAATGTTTAATCTTCTTAAGAAAAAAAATAAAGTACAATGTTATGGAAAAAAAAACAGAGAAGTTCAAGAAAAAAAAATGATGAAAAAAAATAAGTGAACTTCAAAAGAAAAAGAGCAAAAGAAAAAAAAAAATTGTTTAATGTTCAAATGTTCTAGTTGGAGGTTGATCAAAAGAAAAAAAAAAAGAAAAAAAAAAGAAAAAAAGTGAGTTTCAATGAAAATCAGAGTTTGGAAAGTAAAGTTTGTTATTCGCTTAAGTGTCACATTATTATATCTTTTGTGAGTGATATTGTAAGTGTTGGGATTGTTATGTTTGGAGTTATATTTTGTGAAATTCTGTTGGAGTTGAGTATGTTGGAGATGATTGGTCATTATTGATTTTTGACATTGGGTTTATTAGGTTTTGCTCCCTTAAGCATGGCTTTACTCTCACATTTTCCCAAATATTTCCTACCTTTTACCCTAGCCTTAAATTATAAGCTTTAAAAACCTTCCGACCTTGGGCATAGAGTTGTGTGAATGTGAAAGTGTTGTTTATCAATGCAAGGAATGACTTGACATATTCCGAGTCGACTATATAGGTTGAATGCTTATCTTTTTAAACACAGGAGAGTTGTGAGTTTGGGAGGGCATTGTTCACATAAAGGGGTTGGGATGGAGAGCGATCGAGTACATCTTTTACTCGCCACATAAATGAGAGTTGAGTGTGTGAGCACTAGTCTTGAATTCTATATGCTCTTGTGGTTTGCTCTATTTGACAATTGTTAGGGAGGAAGAGTAATTGGATGGATGAGATTGGTCGATGTTGAAGCATGTTTATTAGATTTGCCTTGAATTGTTTGTGCTTCATTTTGACTATTTAGGGTAAGGCGTGTAATTATTTATTCATTGATGAGATCTTTGCTTAGGGACAAGCAAAGGTTTGGCTTGGGGGGGGGGGGGTTTGATATGTCCACTTTATATAGTATTTTACCCTCGTCCCTTGAACATAATTAGTAGTGTTTTTTTTTGCTCTTTAGAGCCATTTTTATTACTAATTGGTGTTTTCTAGTGTTTTCATAGTTTTGGTTGACTTTTGTAGGGATTTGCACCTATGGAGAATTTTTCCAGTATTTTTATGGAGCAACTACGAACATTAGAGGAGCACGACCAGTTTTATAGCCCAGGGTCGGGATCGAACCGGTGGTTAAGGCTTAGCACTTGAGATTCTGAGGCATTTGGACCGAGCATTCAAGAGCCTAAGAGGAAATTCGGATTAGGCCGAAGAATCGGAGCCCAATCGAGAAGTCCAAACTTGCCCAAGTGTCCGGGCCCGACCAAGTGAGCTCCCGCCTGAAGGCGCGCCTGGTCGGGCGAGGAAGAGTAATTTGTGCCCAAGCTCGCGCCCGGCCGGGCACGAGAGACGGCCATAATGGGAAAAAGGCGGGCCCGATCGGGCGCGAGGTTTTTAGGAGCTGATTTCGGAGATATATCTTAGTTTTAATTAGGAGTAATTATTTTAAGTATAAATACGATTTTAATGCTTTCGATTAGTACCTCTCTTCTCTTAGACTCTCTCTCTACTTAGTTTTAGATTAGTTTCTCTCTCCACAACTTTGTTCTCTATTTTGTTCTTAATTCAACTCCTTAATTTCGATTACTTTGGTAACGATTTCTTTTTACTTTAATCTCAGCTATTTACTTTATTTCTTTCATCATGTCTTGTTTAATTGCTTTGATTAGTTTGGTTTTATTTATGTCTGAGTAGTTTAATTCTAGGGTTTATGGGGATCTATAATTAATATGAAGGGATAATTTGTTATTGTTGATTATTAATATTGCATGATAATTTCTTATTGAATTGTTTTAACGCTTTACAACCAGATTATGAATCGAGCAAATGCTATTTGCTTGTAAAAGTTTAGCAATATTGAATTAATGAATCGAGTAGATGTTAATTTAATATTAAAGGTTATTTTCAATAGGAACTTAGATCTAGTAATTTGCAAGAGTCAGGTAGATTATATGTTGATTAATAAATTGCGAGAGCCTGATAGTCATGTTGTTTGTGCAATGTTAATCATTGGTTGTTATGTTTTATCCTGGATTATTAATTATTGGTGTACCTATGCCCTAGGCCTTTATTCATTGATTTCTCCTTACTCTTAATCTTTGTAGTTTAGTTTCCTATCGAAATTATCAATTGGGTACTTAATAATTTAGATTGTTTTAATTAATTAGGAATAGAAAGACCAGTTTCCCTGTGGATTCGACCCTTCTTCCCTATCTGCATATTTAGAGGACTTAGGAATTATTTTTTATTAGGTGGTTACGACTTTAGCCTATTATGTTCCATCCTTAATTTCCCATAACCGATAGGTCCTCAATAGGATGTTAATTCTAGGATCACGTCATAAAATGAAAGACTGTTTAGAAGGCTCCAAGAAGCTTTTTTGTCTTAAGAGGGTGGATTAAGGTCTAGTTCAATACACCTTAAGAGAAGTATATAAATAAATTATAATAAGGGCCAATAAAAAATCCATGTAAGGACTGCTGAGTTGGAATCATAAGTTTAATTAAGATCAGATCATATCATTTTAGATCACAGATTTCTCGCCATTGAAAACGGCTTTCAACTTCCTTTTAGAACCATGTTTGAATTGAGAATCAATTAATAAAACAAGACGTTGCTAACATCAATGATGGACATTTGGAGATGTGTCGATTTTTCATCAGAAAAATTACTTACCAAATCTAATTTTGACGTCATCTTCTTCTTAATTTTCATTTCTTTGTTTTTAATCAAACCTGAAAAGTGTGTCTACCCATTCACCTAATAAATGATCATGCTCCCCCCACCCCACCCCACCCCATCCACACACCCCACAAAAAAAAAAAAAAAAAAAAAAAAAAAAAACAAAAAAAAAGAGGAAGAAAATAAAACTCTTTACCTTATTTTCCTCTTCCTCTTTTTGCCTATTGTGCCTCTTTCTCCCTAGAAAATTAACTTCTCCTTCATTATCATTTAATGTCTACATGAGACTACATCCTCCCCCTATATTCTTTCCCTTATGGTGTCTCTATATTTCATAATTTTTCTTCTCTGTTGTTTTGGAACAAATTGTTTCAATTAAATTTCGATTTTTAGCTTGAGGTAATTAAGAAGTTCGAATATCTAAAGTTCTTGAAGCAACATGAGTTCTTTTTACTACAAAAAAAAAAAATATAGAGTAAAAATACGTGATGGTATCATTCTCAGTTTTCTCTCTTATTCGAGCAAAATATTAATTTATTTGTTGATGCTGATAAGTTCATTTACTTTAAATTTTTTTGGGTTTCCTTAACTTTTAACTTCATGTTTTCCTTTGATTTCATCTTTTTATGTAGATTTTCAGTCTCCAATTCATATCATTGAACATGAATATATATTTAATTGTATATGAGTGCAAATTATAAAGGTTATATATAGAGCTAGTCATATACGATTTGTTTGGAGAGGGATAGAGGACGAAGGGGAGAGAAAGGGAAGAAAAAGGCGAGCTTCATTTTCCCTCCAAATCTCTCCAATTGTGAAGGAATTATGCTTATTAAAGGAAGAGGGAAAATAGATCCCTCCCTCTCCTTCCCTTTCCTTCCCCTAACTCTTTACCTAAACAAAAAAGATTTGTCCTCCTTCCTTTCCCTTCTCTTCTTTTCCTTCCATTTTCTTCTATCAAAACAAAGTGTTAATAAATTGGACCGGTCGGACTCTACAAAGAATGTAAGTCCGGTCCACCTTCCATTCAAATTCACACACTTTTTGTTAGACTCAGATTCATGCATTTTATTATTGAACTCGAAAGGAACTTTTTTCTTCGATTTGGACCAGATGCGTACTAAATTGCCATCTCTACACCACATGACTACATTTTTCTTTACATATACACCACAATATGTAGGTGAAAAAGAATGTGTTAATACAGTTAAAAGCCTTACAAATTGCACAATATATAAGGATTTGTTGCAGTATACTTCTTCCATTCTTTTATTTTCTACTCAATAGATACAAAATTAAAGAAAGTACTGAAGAATGTGAGGGGGTGTAAGATAAAGTAGGGTAGAGTAAGAGAGAGAATGTAAAAATTGTGTTAGAAAAACGGAAATTAAGTAAGAGATAGTGTGTGGGAAGAAGTAATTATTGTGAAGTTATAGTGTAAGATGGTATTAGAGGTAAACCAAAAATAAAATAGAGCAAAGTGAATTGAACAAAGAAGAGCTAAGTAATATGAAAATTGAGAATAATAAAAAACGATCAGAGGGATTAGGAAAAGAGAATGTGCAGGCTAAACATACATAAATGGCACAAAAGATTCCAAAAGGGTAGTTATTCATAGAATGACTTTAAACAGATGTTGAGATGTATGTTTAGGTTTTGAAAACATAAACATTTTCTAATTAACAAAGGCAGCTAACGCGCGGGATATGCATGCCATGGCTAGCCATGTCCAAGGAGCTCTTTTGGGTTTGCCTTGTGTCACAAATTTAGTTGTTGGCAAATGAGGGGAAATAGGTAAAAAAAACTATTATAGGGATATAAATATCGGCACACTGTTCTTAAGAGTTCAAAAAAAGAGGCATTTAACATTAATGAGGGAAAAAAAAAAGTAAATAAACATTTTAGAGGGTATAATTGTCCAAACAATATTCAGAAGAGTTATTTCAAACTTTATGAAAAGAAGGGGTAATGAAATGAACTTCCCCTGGTTTATGATTTTGAAAGACCAAAAATCTTACCTGAAAGAATTGTCCATGCTTTTGTTTCCTACATAAAAAAAGAAATAATTATTGAGCTTATTAGAAAAGATCTGGAACCCAAAAACATTATAGAAACCAAAATAATTTGCATTACCTTCTCTCCAGAAGTAAAATATGTTCGCAAACCCAAAAGGCTATATGTTGCTCTAATAAGATTTCCTAGACCACTTTCACTGACTCCAAGAGATTTTAAGTATTCTACTCTATCCTCAGATGGAAGTTCAGTAAGTTCTGCCTCAACCTACAAATATATCCCATGTTAGTTCATATCAGAATTGCAGAATTCCAAAGGATTATGAACGTGATGTACCCTGTAATTTCCAACCAAATATTACATGATAGTGGCAGATCTAAAAAAATATTTAACGGGATCAAAATTCATTTGATAAATTTTTATGGGGTCATTTGATTAAAAATATAAGCAATTTAAAAAAAAAATTAATTTGATAAGAAATCTTTTTTTATATTCAAGTGGGTTCAAGGGACCCTACTTAATATCCTTGCATCACATGACATATGGGTGATGGATCCATTTCCAGTTTTCCACCTTTACACTTATAATTAACCAATTATTGTAAAATACCAAGTATAAAGAAATACGTGCGTTATATCCAAAATAAACTAAAAAAACACAGTACTATAAGAGAGGTACATTTGACTGGGATCCCTCTTACAAAAGGGCGTACTTTGTAAACTTTATGCCAACAATAGATTGTAAATTATGGAGTTAGGAGAGAGAAAGTTATGAAACAACACCTTAATCTAGTGGAATTATTTGTTTTGGCGATATATAAATGAACCAAAAGAACATGTACCAACTCAGGCTTAACAGTGTTCAGGAACTATCATCAATATAATATCTACATCATCCTTGCAGATATATCAACTTAAAGATGCTTTTTTACTGGTTTACTAAACCTGTGCTGAGACAGTCACCACTCCTGATTGCAAGTTCGATGCAAGCTTTGTTACTTCTTGGACAAAAGGATTCTTTTCAGGATCAGCCACTTCAGACTCTGCTACATTTGCAACATAAATTACCGGTTTCATCGTAAGCAAACAAAGGTGCTTTATAGCATCCTTTTCAGGATCTGACAAGTTAACTGATCGTGCTGGTTTTCCATCCATAAGCACCTGTTGAATCTTTTCCAGCGCAGATCTTTCTGCTTCCTCCTGAATGTACCAAAAGTTGGAGCAAATATTCGATCAGCTTCTCTATTAAACAAAAAAGTAATTGTACAGCTTGATAATTATGTAATTACAATTTTAATTACCTTTGCTTTTGTTTGTGAATCTTTTGCCTTGCTTTTTTTAAGTTTATCCAATCTTTTTTCAATCTGCATTCAGAAAATTATTCAACATCCAGAGATGCAAGTTAGATCCATCATAATTCCCTGGTCTTTTTTATAGACAGAGAGACCTGAGTCGTCTTAAGTTGTAATAATGCCTTTTAGATTAATTAAATTAGTGTAAACCATTATGATCAGTAAGAGGACTTAGATCCAACATAAGCACTGTAACAAGCTAACAACTAAAGATCCAATCAGATTATCCAACATAAGCACTGAGCAACTAAGTCCAATCAGATTAACAAGTAATGCAAAATAGCCTATTCACAAATGTACGAGTACAACAGTTTAATCTAAAGTCTAAATTCCCTTACAACCACCTCTCCTTCCTTTTTTTTCTCAGACAACTACCATCCCAGAGTAAAGATACAAAACCAGCCCATACCAAATTACCAGATCTGGAATGCCCGATCTAAACCCAAAGTAACATGACCTCATTCTAATCAGCCTCTAACGAATCAACTCCTAAAACAGTATCACTTATACCTATTGAATGATCAACAAGTTAATTAACAACCGACTCAATAATAACCCAACCTTAAATTTCAATCAAACGGAATGGAACCAAACCAAACCAAATATCTCATCAAAATGCTTTCCAAATATTAACCCACCTTAATCGTTTTTCCACTCCTAGGAAAAAAAGAGGAAGTGGGGTTACAGTGTGGTGCATGATTAGTAGCAAGCAAAAAAATTTAGCAATGGGTAACAACCGGATGATTTTTCCTAGAATGGTGGTGACATAGTGCTTGAAACCTGTCCTAATTGATTCCAGTTTAAATTATTCTAACTGAAATAATTTCAGTTTCTATACCAAATCCATAATTATTGGATTTGAGACCTCATCTGGGATGGTCCAGTATCATTTTTGAAAACTATAATTCGTAGAGTTTATCTAACCTTAAGAATAAAATGATACAGTTTGGGAAAAGTTGACAAAAAGAAAAAAAAGAAAAAGGGAGCGGGTTCATTTAAATCAACTAAAAATACATTTTCTTCAATATAATTATATAAAATCTTGTTCTCAAGTAAGCAAAAGTATCTGGGTACCTCATGCCACAACCAGTTTTAGACTAGCTCCAAGCAAAGTATATCATGATTAAGGTTGAAATCATAGTAAGGAGTAAAAATCTCACATCACTAAAAAAAAACAAAAAAAAAGAAAAAAAAAAAGAAAAAAAAAAAAAAAACTAAACAATTTATGTAAATGGTAAAGATTGATGTAGCATGATATCAGTTTTACTTTCTACAGGTCAACACATGACAGCCCTTTACAAGTCGAATAAGTAATGCATGTAACAACTGCTGAGTGCTGACTGATGCATTAAGAAACCAGTATCAACTAGTATTGAGTGGTATCCAGTATCTTTGCGAACTGGTTCCAAAATTATGAACCTGTTCTCTAACTGAATATGAGCTATAATCCTAAATACTACGTATTAGCTGACTACAAAGTCCTAGGCCACTACTATTTATGGTATATCTGTATATGCCATCATAAGAATGATTGTCTCGAACAATGTTCACTGCCAATAATGAGAGACTTCAAGGAAAAATAATGACAGGTTAATTATTTACGATTACCTGGAGAGGGGGGAGGGGGTAGGCTTTAATTTCTTTACCAATTAAGTCTTTACAGCTCAAGTGTCCTTTGCCCTAGGACAAATCTTCGAGGAAGGAATCTCCAAAGGAAAAGTAAGCTAAGAAATATGACAGCTAATTCAACATAATTCAATAGCTACTTTTCGCTTTTTAAGTATTTAGAATTGGCTGTATAAATTCGGTGAACCATTTTATATCGAGTACAAGCAAATTTTCCAATGATTCATACATGGATAGTTGGGAGTAAACAATAAATGGATGGAAAAGAATCACTAGCTACAGCCTTCAATGTGATTGCATCTTTTAGAAGTGCAGTGACCATACTAAAAGCCTTAACAGAAAGATCAATTTGAGAATACCACATAATTATGTTAAACAAGCTTAAAACTGAAGAGATGGTAATGATGTTATAGGGGATGATTTGAGAGGACCTGTTCACCTAATAGTGTTGTATATATGATTCTTGATCCATTTCTGGTATTCATTCATGGTATTATTTGATTATATTCGTGTTGTTTGATCTAGTTCTTTATTTAAATATTTCTTACAACACCAAAACAAGTCCCTTTTGCATAGTCTATCCTTTTATTTGACATCCATAGGATAATTATCTCCTCATGGTTCGACTCTCACATCCTTATCTATAGTATTACGTGGACGTGGACGTGTGTTTCGGGGTTTTTTGGAATCCCTCAGGATACTAGTCACGCTTTGCTGGCAGTGAGACTCGGACACCTGCATAAACACGGAACTTCGGTGGCCGAAGATCCGCCTCCAACGATCAAGTTAGTGATCGGAAAACGGATTTAACAAGAGAAAGAAAGTAGAGAGAATTTGGAGCTATTTAGTGCTTTATTGAATGTTATGTCACAATCCACCGCTCCCATCATCAATGATTGGGGTATTTATAGGGGTGGGGATTTGTGCCAGAGGGTAAGTGACCTAAGATTCAGGGTCCTGATTAGCTGCGCAATCAAGGAAGGACACGTGGCCAATTTGGGGGCGCCGTTTTGCGGCTTTCTAGGAGTTTGGGCCTCCTGATGTAAGAAGGCCTTTTGTCATTCTCTTTATTTTAGGTGCTCTCTTGCTCTTTTGTATGTGTCATCTTCCTATGGTGACACGTGTCACCCGTTGATTGGGCCACGTGTCATCACAAGATTGGACCACGTACTAGGGTATTTTTTACCCTAAACAACGTGGACCTTAAGTTATCTTTGATTATGTATGCAATTAGCCTGCCAGTAACTATCTTAGTGAACATAAATCCAAATAAAATTAGCACTAAATCAAAGAATTTTCCCCAGCATTAACTATATAAGCACTCTTGACAATCTGGAAAACATTGCTAATAATTCAATTAATATATCTTTGATACAGACTTTTAAAGATCATTGTTAATTTATAGTATAACAGCAAACACAAGAATAGTTAACAGTGACACTGAGTCAAACAGATTCGGAAGCTACTTGAGAGCAGAATAGCCTAAACCTTTGCCAGGAATTTGTCTAGAATCAAACTTGATGACTTAAAACAAGGACACCTAGTTTCTAGGCCCATAATACCCTTTGCTCTGAATACAAGATTAAGGAAAATTACAAAAACACCAAAGACATAAGACCAATATGAAGGCAGGAAGATAAATTCATTACAAAAATAAAATATTTCATCAGACATATTAATTAGGAAAATCTTGTCATTTCTCTAAACCTCTACACCCACGCAGTAGCCCTAAAAGCAGTAATGATATAAATTTAATTCAAGCATTAATAATCTATACATTATATAACAGCCACACAATGTACCTGATCCAAATCTGAGAAGATTAACTCTAGATTGATGACATCAATGTCAGACTTTGGTTCAACACGTCCATTTACGTGAATAATATCATTATCCTCAAAACATCGTACAACCTAAACACATTAACAGTCAGAACCAATTGTATTATATATAGTAAAGAATAAAAACTAACTTTATTGTCTATGATTCAGAAGAGAAGAACTTTACATTTGGCACCAAAATAATGATGACATTAATCTGACACTTACAGCTTATAAAATGCATTGTAGCAATGACTAATACCTCACAATGGAAAGACTGAAACAGTAGATCATGCAGCTCATGTATTAATTTGTGTGTTGTATTAGGCCCAAGAGTTTCAGGGAATTTAATATAAAGATCCCAAAGTTTACTATTATACTTTGAGCGGGATTTTTTTTTTTTTTCTATATAGACCTAGAAGGGAAAGTAACACACATGGACAAAAAGCTTTTTATGAGTAAGATCAAGGATCATTCATCCAAAATCAAGTGCTTCATTTTCTACATTATATAAAAATGGGAGGCATAAGTGACACCAAATCAGCCTCTTTAGCCATCACCATTAGTCTCCCATTTAATTTACATTCTGTGTAGCAATTATCCCAACAAGGACTCCAATTACAATTTTTAACTTTTTCTTCTCTGCAATTCTTAATTCTGATAATTTTTCACAAACATTAATTACAAAATACAAAAAATAAAATAACATTATCGTATAAATGTAGACAACTATGAAATAATAACTCAGGTGGTGTACTCAATCATATACCCTATATGGTCAAACCCACATTCATCTATATGGTCATTGGGCACCATGACAAAGGCTTCACATTTCTCAAAATTCTATGATGCAAGTTGGATCTTTGGATGGTATTGCATTATCTTTAAATCACTTAATATTTTTATAATTGAACCTTGTTTTTTGATATATAAATGATTTAGTAGATTTAAATCTACACACACAATACAATTGAGAAAAATAAAACTTCTTTACAGCAAAACTATACTCGCTATTGCACATCAAACATTCTCCTTACCCACTTTCATGTCACTGTGATTTACAGCCTTCCTTGGCTAAGGGGTCTATATAACTGAACTAAATTACTAGTAACATATATAATAAGCACCTGAAGTATGGAATCGACTTCACGAATATGAGATAAGAACTTATTCCCTAATCCCTGCAATTCGAACAACAGCAAATTAGAGTAGTGTGTATGAGGACATCAATCCTATAAGGGACACCAAAAAGAAGGAAATTAAACAAGGATATACACTTTCTATTAAAGTATATGTTCAAACCTCTCCCTGGCTGGCTCCCTTAACAAGTCCAGCAATATCCACAAATTCTACAGATGCAGGGACCATTTTCTGAGATTTACTTAAATCAGAAAGCACCTGTAACCTTGGGTCTGGAACAGCCACAGTCCCAACATTTGGTTCTATTGTGCAAAAAGGAAAATTAGCAGCTTGCGCCTTCCCATTTTCAACCTGTAAAGTTCTAATACACTTAATATGACAGTTGACATGCCATGGAGTAAAGAATTAAAAGTACATAAAAAAATTGCAATATTAAACATTTGCGGTAACAAAGTGCAACACTACTTTGGCATTGGATTCTACTGTTAAAAAGGGAAGTTGTCAAACAAAATAAGTAACGAAGAATCAGTCTCTAGTTATCTACACAAAGAAACATAATCACATACATCTAAGGAACATATTTACAAATTCAGCAGCCTCTGTGCTTGGAGAATTGAGGCTAAACACTTATAAATTAGTAATGAAAAGTCAGATTGTGATAGTTCTAAACTAAAAACTACAGCTAAGGAATTCATTTGAAGATCTTTTAAATAATTATACAAATAGATGTAAATACAAGTCACAAAAAGGAACTATCAGACCCAGCATGATGTTCCTAATAACTACTACTAAGGCCTCGTTTGTTTTTGTGTAAAATGTTATCATGGAAAATGACTTTCCCATTTTTTTCCCATTTTCCTTTGTTTTGTTTGTGAAGGGATGGAAAACAATTTTCCTAATGGTGTAAAATTGCATCCTAAATGATGGAAAAAAATTCCTTTCCAAAACAACAGAAGCCACATTTTCCTCCCTCCTCCTTACCTCTTTTTTACTTCTCTCGCATCCATCCTCACATTCCACTCTTATTTTTTATTTTTCTTGAACTTCTCTTGTATGCAACCAAACAAAGGAAAACTAATTTGCAATTGTGCTTTTCTTTGAAAATAGGTTTTCCCTGAAAACTAATATTTCATTGAAAATGTTTTACATCAAATCACACAGGACCTAAAAGTTTGCAAGGTCTTGTGATAGAGAAAAACAAACAGGACAACAACAATGGAGTTGAAAGTGAACCTTTATTGATGTGCTTATTATTTTATTACTGATTTGCCAAACTCCAAAGAAGGAATTAGAGGCCAAGAGATCTAGTATCCCCAACACACCAGATTTTTATCAAATACAACTCTATAGTTGAAACCTTAGAATCACTACCATGTAAATACATAACTAGCTCGTTCGCAGCCTATTGTCTGGCTTCCTATTTCAAGCCATTCTACTTGATTGTCCACTCCCCCTACAATATACTCTTATAGTTTACATGTGAATTATTTCCACCCCTTCATGTTAACAATGCCTCACCTTTCATTATTCTCGAGCTCTAGCTTCACCAATTAGGCATTCAAGTACAACAGAAGAGTGGAAAATAAAATAATTAAATAAATAAATAAATAAATAAATAACCTGCTAACAGATGAACATCAGATGAAACGACATCACCCAAATCTAAACAAATTGGCAGGATTTACAGTTGAAATTTCTATTGCCAATAACTAAAGTTAACCCCAAATTCAACATGCCGTAACTCGTTCATCACCACCAACAAAGAACACAAAGCTAACCTAACAGTGAACAACTTAATCAGATAAAACATTCACTAAACTACCCACAAAAAAAAAAAAAAAAAAAAAAAAAAAAAAATCATAAAAGTCAAGACATTTAATCGAAAATTAATAGCATAACTTATATAATCAAACACCTTTCAGGCATAAACCCAAATAGCAGCAATGTGAGTAGAATAGCGAGAAAGAGGAAGATGGGCTTACAACAGCATTGAAAAGAGTGGATTTTCCAACATTAGGGAGACCAACAATGCCAGCTTTCAAACTCATGGAAACTTTGAATGGTGAAGAAGATAAGCTTCGTTTGCTAAGGATTACATGGTTCGTTGTAATACAACGAGTGAGAGATGGGTCAGTAGAGAGAAAGGAAGACTTGAATGGCATTTGCAAACCAGATAGAGCAGGCCGCCATTGATGACAAGCTATTCTCGCCATTGATGCCTAATCTTTAAGGTTTGAGTTCTCCACACAATGGTGTTTTACGAAGATACGGGGTAATAGAATTGGTTACTTGCTCGAAAAATAACATTCGGTGGGATCCGGTGTACAATAAATTATTCTATACTCAAAATTTGACACTGTTTCAAATGATATAATCACATTCATATAATTACTTTTTTAGACGATATAATTATCTTTTTGTGAGTCATATATTGAATTATATAATCTTATATTAAACGATTTAATGAGATTATATAATTATCTTTAGGATGATAAAATTTAAAAATCTATCTTTTGAATGATGTAATTTACTATTTGATACTTTTTATAATGATAAATTTACTTTTTGAGTGATACATTTACATAATAATTTTAGGATGATATAATCACTTGTGTAGTAATATAATCACATTTCGTATGATATAATCACATTCGTATGGTACACTAGAAAGTTGGGTCTACAATAAGTTATTATAGACCGGGTCTATTTTAGTCTTTACCGAAAACCAATACCGAGTAGAGGAAGTAAAAACGAGTAAAATCAAATTTATCAAGCTGTTTTTTTTCCCCTTTAGAACGTACTTAAGCTGTTTGAGTGTTTGTAAATCAACCAACTTTTTTGTTTTTTTATTAGGAAAAAATAAAATAAAATAAAAGTCTATAAAGAGACACTTTTCACGATAATCCTCCAAAATCCAATACTTAACTCTATTAGTTTTTTTTTTAATAATAATAATAATAAAATGACTACCTATCCCACTATTTTATTTTCATTTATTTATTTTTATCATTTTTTAAAAAATTCAATAACTACCCATCCAATATTTCCTTTTTGTTTCTGTTTTTTTTTCAAGGAACTACTACTAACATTTCACTTTTTTTTTTTTTTTTTTTTGGTACGCAGTATAATATATGACATGCTAATATAGCACTCAAAATCTCCAACATTTCATTTTTTTAAACAATATGTACTAACATTTCAATTTGTTTTACGAATATTTTTTGGAACATAATATAATATATGTCATGCATTAACACGAGTATGCAGTTCCTTTATCAACAATTCACTATAGTACCCTAAATCCCCAACCCTTCAATTATATGCACTTTTTAGGTACTGCCATCTAAATAACTTCCCCTTCTCTAATCATCGAAACCAAAAAAATAAAAAAAATAAATGTATAACACGTTTTTGCGCAACTTGTCTCACCGAATAAATATTTGCAACAGATTAAAGTATATAACTCCTAAAGCAAGACACTAACTTGAGCAACCCGAGTAACCCCTATAACACTAAACCGGTAACCTGTATAACTTTGACAAAATAAACCCCATAATAGCTAGCTACATTGCGTTGCCACCGACATAAAAGAGTAAGACCCTATTTTTTGAGCTTCTAAGCAAAGCAGGGAATATCATATGCAGAGCAGGTGTCAGCACGACATAACAAGTGTCAGCACATTATTAATACGATTACTAATACTCACTAGAACAAAGCTAAGCAGAGTTCCATAAAGTTGACCAGTCCAAAACCGACCATTGCAGCCCAAGTATAAGGCCTCGTTCTCTTCACCTTATTTTACTGAAGTGAAATTGTTTTTACTGAAACAATATTATATCTGCTGAACTTAAATTATTTTTACTGAACTTAAATTAATTTTACTGAAATGAAATTATTTTTTATGAACTTAAATTATTTTTACTGAATTATTTGTTATAATTCTTCTTTAAGAAAACTTAATTTTACTAAATTGAACTTATTTTTACTGAACTGAAATTAATTTTACTAAACTGAATTTATTTTACTAAATTGAAACTATTTTTACTTAATATTATTTTTTTAAGGTGAAGAGAACAGGGCCTAAGTTACAACATCAAAATCAACTTGGATTTCCAAGATCCTTAAAAAAAAGGATTTATTTCCAAGATATCAAAAGAAAACTTTTAGATACTCTGATAATTGTTGTGTATATTATCTTTAAATTATGCGGGAATTTATAGCACCCCTACATGAACGATGTTTGCTCGATATATTAAACATGTAGTGAAATGTCTAATCAAGCATGAGGTTCTGAGCGTCAATATATACTCTTGCATGGGAAGGTAAGCGGTGATATTTGGCAGTATTGTTAATCCGTTCATATTACACAGATAATGTGTAATACAACACTCCCCCTTGAACGGATTTCTATAGAATGACTCTTATCTAAAGTTTACATTTATGTAAAAACAAATATTACCGCTATTATACTTATATGTTTACTATCTCGTTAAAACCTTGCCAAGAGAAACCCTATGGGATAAAACTTGGACGAAGGAAAAAGAGTACAACACAACTAGGGATCCCCTAAGTTTAACATATATCACAAAGACAACGCATGCCGATCATATGCACGAGTTCTTGAAATTTGCTAGGTGGTAATGCCTTCATGAATATATCGGCTAAGTTGTTGCATGACTAGATCTGCTTGAGTTCGATCTTTCCTTCTTTTTCCAAGTCATGAGTAGAAAAGAACTTTGAGTCGATGTGTTTTGTTTTATCGCCTTTGATATAGCCTTCCTTAATTTGTGTAATGCAAGTAGTGTTGGCTTCAAATTTTGTAATTATGTCTTCTTCGGTTGTTTTGATGCCACTTTCTTTGAGTATATGTTGGGTCACAGATCGCAGCCATATACATTCTCTACCAGCTCCATAGAGGGCAATCAATTCAGCTTGGTTTGATGAAGTCGTTGTTAATGTTTTCTTAGTTGACTTCCATGAGATCGCTATATTTCCATAGCTGAAAAGATAACCTATTTATGATTTTGTTTATATTGAATTTTATAGGCAGCCTGCATCAGCATATCCCATGGGAGTAGGATTTCCATTTCTTGGATAGATGATATGTCCAATTTATATAGTGTTTTACCCCCGTCCCATGGTCATAATTAGTAGTGTTTTTGGCTCTTTAGGTCCACTTTTATTACTAATTTGTGTTTTCTAGTGTTTTTGTAGTTTTGCTTGAGTTTTGTAGGAAATTGCACACTTAGAGCGTTTTCAGGGTTTTTCATGAAGCAACTACAAGCGTTAGGAGGACACGACCATCCTTAAAGCCCAGGACCGGTGAGAGCCGGTGATTAAGGGCTCGGTATGTGATACCGGGGCAATTGGATCAAATAATCAAGACGCGATGAGGAAATCCTGATTGGGCCGAGGAATCGAGCCCAATCGAAATCCAAGCCTCGAAGAAGAAGCCAGGCCCGATCGGGCAAGCATACGCCCGATCGGGCGGGCGCGCGCAAAGCAGCCTCAAGGAAGAAGCCGCGCCCGATCGGGTGAGCGTAGGCTCGATCGGGCGCAGCACACCAGCAAGGGCGTAGTAAAAAATGCGGGCCCGATCGGGCGGCCCTTCGCCCGATCGGGCGCTGTAGGGAATAATTTCAAGCCTTAAAATCCCACTAGCTTGAACCCCACTATGATCATACACTAAAGTACGGTGGCGTCCAAAAGGGAAGAAGATAGAGCAAAAGAGTCGCCAACAAGTTTTTAAGGAACTTGTAAACCGTTCACGAGGTGAAGGTTACACCCCTTAACGATCCAAGAGATCGTCAACTCCATAAGGTCATGAACCAAATAAGGGTTCGGGGATGAAGGTACAAATCCAACCTAAAAGAGATTGAACCTGCCCTAATAATAGGCCTCTACTTTATTTTGATCGTATTCATGTGCACTTTTTAATTAACATGCAATCAATAGGATTAACCCTAAACCTGTTTAATCTATGTTGGTTGAATATAATGCACAAATAAATCTATTATTGGCGATCACTTGAATTATAATCAAAGTTAACCTAACAAGATTATTAATTATCTTATTAAGCGTGATTACAAGTACAAATTCCCTTTAACATGCATAAAAGGCGTGATCAAGCAATAACAATAAATAAATATCAAGCAACATAATAAATAATCATAACAATAAAAATATAATCATCATCAAAATAATAATAATCATAATATTCATAATCATTATAATCATTATAATCATAATCATATTCATGTTAATATTAAAGCATAATAAAAATAGCAAGATCCTAGACATGATACTAACAAGATTAATAACAAACCCTAGCATGTCACTAAGCGATAAAAATCAAATCTTTAACCCTAACATGATACTAGTAATCATAAATATTAGGAAGAACATAGGAAGTATCATCATATTTAATATTAAAATTACCCTAGACATGATACTAGGAATCATAATAATAATGTAAACATGATTTCTACATCATAATATCAATTAAAACCATTAAAGCACTTACTTTGATGCTTCGTACCTCTTTCTAATAACAAAATAAACACGTTAGTAACTTCAAGGAAAATAATAATCAAAACAATTAAATTAAATAATTGAAAGAGAGATTTGGGACCAAACCCTCAGAAATTAAACCTTTCACGTCTAGGGCGAAGGCAACTTCGAATATGGCTAGGTGTTTCTAGATCTTGTAAATGCGGAATTTTGTATGAAAAAGCAAAGTTTAGAAAAGAGAGATGAAAGAATATTAAAGAATTGATGAAAACTTGTGAATGAGGAGAATTCGTCAATTGGTATAAGAATTGATGAAATCTGGTGTATGAAAATGAAGTTTTTGATACGATATTTGTAGAGAAAATCAGCCAAAAAAGATAATTTAACAAAACAGAGTTTGAAGATCGCAAAACAGCATTGGCGCCAACCCTGGCTAGCTGGCGCCAGGCACCAGTGGCTAGCGCCAGGCGCCAATGGCTAGCGTCTGGCGCCAAGCCTGGTTCCAGGCGCCAAGGCCTGGGGTTGGACGCTAGTCTTGATTCTAACGCATTTTTGAAAATCCGATAAGTTTACCGTACTGGAGGATAAAATAATATAATTTCTTCGAAAATGCTATTTGATCTTGATTAAAACTCTGAAAAGTCAACAAAGTCAACTTATCAATGCTAATTGAATTAGGAATGAAAAGAACCTTCTAGAAGATTCTAGAAGACTAAAACCATTCCTAATTGCATTAGGAATGATAAATCATATTAGGCCCTCCCCTAGATCATTGGGCCGTACA